GTTCTGCTAGGCTTTATAATTAACCTATGCGAATAATGCCTTCATAAATAATGACATTCTTCAATTATTATCTTAGAAGATATACTATCAATACTTACGATAAAAACCCTTCGATAAACTCGTTTAAGTCACGTGTTCCATATACTGACGTAATCAACAGTTGTTTAAACATTTTTTACCCGCATTTTTTAACAAAATTTTAAGGCTATAAATAAAAATACAAGCTACAGCATGGACGATAGAAAATAAAGACGTATGTATCCACTATTAATAGCAATCTTTCTCTATTAATTTAGACTTTGCGGTTCACCCTCGCTCCGCTCGGGTTCGTTCCTAGTTACGTTTTAACATTTAGTATAGATTTTTCAGAGATGAGATATTTTCCCGCAGTAAAAAGTATCCTATATATATATATATATATATATTTATTAATCCGTCCACTGGTTTTCTCCTGATGCGTTCACAGACAGACAAAAATTCAAAAAACTATACATTCGGCCTCTGTATTGATAATAATTACTATTTCAATAAGATTTCCCAAAAAAATATTTAATGTACAGATTCGACTCAGAATTTTATTATACCTATGTATAGATTATAAATACTGTTGTATCGAAGTCACAATGGGAAACATCTTATCAATAATTGACCTTATTATATTAACCTGTGGCATATTAGTCTATTCCAGAAACCTCATTAGTTAAATATAAAACTTATACCTCCATTTAGAGGAAGGAAACACGTATTGTGCTGATATACGAATGCGTCTAAAGAGGATGACAGTATGGTGTTACACTGAACGCGAGGTAACACGATGCGTCAATATAAACCGTTTGCTGCCATTTCCGTTGCATTTTACTGATTAGTCTGTTAATACTATGTTTTTATTAGTATATTTTTAAGTGTCGCAGAAATGTCTAGAGCTGGCACTGACTCTTTTGAAGGATCTAACGGATTCTCTTCTCAGTCGGCGAAGGTTACGGATTCTGTTAGCCTTATGGCTGTTCAAGTATTTTTAGAGTAAAATTGAAACAGTGTTTTTGTAATAAACCTAAGTTTAGTATACAAATAGCGAATATTACGATTATTCGAGTCGCACTCCTTACTCATGTCTATATAAGTTTTGTCATGTCTATAAGAAATATTGGAAAAAGTTATATTTATTATATTTATATCGAACACCAGCATTGTTATGTAGAATAGTCAGTTCAGCGAGAAAATGAATAACAACAAAGAAGTTGTATTAGTGTAAGTCAAGTACATATTATGTATGTGTTAGTGTTTTATTCAATGAGCTATAAAGAAAACACCACAAGAACTCATTGAATGTGTGCAGATGTTGTTATGAATGCGTCAAGTACGTAAGTATATACGATTTATGTAAACTACAGCTCCTATATATTGGTATTGATGATCTTTGATTGCGTGACTCGTGCTGCAGGTGTAGGCACCAACTAGGGTTGGCATAAAAATATTCGCTCAGCAATTAAAGTGATTTGATTTATCAGATTTAATAACCTTCTTACTGTCCGACTTAAAAAAGAAGAGAAGGAGTTAGTAGTAAAAAAGGAAGAGAATTCGCGTGTAGTTTTGTTTAATAACATAAAATATACACAATACTACTTGATATGTTAACGAACTGTGTAAATCGATTTTTTAATGAATAGGTTCCCACTAGGAGCTATTTGGGATCCCAAGGAATTCCTAGGGTGATCCTATATAAATTAAAAAAAAAACACCGCTAGGTGGAAAAATTACATTCGGGTATTAAATATTACTGTTTATTATTTTAATAATGATTTTAATCATCCTTTTTAAGCAAAGCTGTCGACAGCCCTTATTTAAAGATAACAGTCGTATTCGCATCGTCATGCGATAAACATTAGAAAAGTAAGTTTATAGGTAACCTTGTCGGACGTGCATGGAATAAATAAGAAGTTTTACAAAATTCAAACATTTTTTAGCCGTCTAAGTCACTAAATAATCTCCTCTCAGGATATAGTAATGTTTATAGGATAAATATAACTAAATATAGGATATATATAAATCTTTATTATATATCTTATGTTTCGATATAATGAGACTATAACCATTAAAATATTTTGTGACATTAGAAACTGAACTCACTACAACTCCATGAGTACTCAATTAAACCAACACGCCACCACACCACCAAAGGAACACGAACAATTAAACAATCTTTTGCTATTTACCCTATAATATTGTATTCAAAATATCATTAAGTTCATATCATTATTGTCTTTTATATGCAAATGGCTTTGAGAAATTAACACTTTGCAATAATAAAGGTGAAAATGGCTGTTAAAATTATAGCTTATATTCTTTATAGCTTGTTCAAAGTAGTACCAAGGTTCTTATATACGTGGTCGTACAGTATATAATGGCTATATCGAATGCACTGTTATTGTACATTGTAGAAGGCGTGTGGTTGCATGCATTAATAAATCTAAATAGAATAATTTCATACCGTATATAAAATGATATATATGTAGGTATCTTGTATATATACAAGTAAATTATAAAGTAAGCGCTGTGCTAGTTTTGGCTCTCTCTATGTTATTATTATTCGAGATATTATTTTGATTATGTTGAGGATTAAAGTGAAAGTCTATAAGGTTTAATTTGTATTTATACTCTGTTGGTTTATTTTTAGGGTTTACTGTTTGGAAAAAACGGTATACTGTAAATTGTCTATTTAGACACTAGCTACTTCGTCTCGTTTTCATTTTTTTGAACGGGACCCTAATTCTTTTTCTAAAATAAAAGTGGTCAAAGTTACTCCATATAACATCAGCTATCAGTGTAAGTCCCGTCAAAATCAGTCCAGCCGTTTCGGAGATTAGCCAGAACAAACAGGCGGACAGATAGACAGATAAATATTTTAAAAATTGTGTTTTTCTTATAAGTACCGTATACAAATGTACGTGCGTTTAGTAAAAAGCTATTATTTTGTAATTACAAACAGACACTTCTATTTTATTTATCTGTATAGATTTCTCTCTTCTTCTTAATTCTTTACTCTACTTAACGTTTCAGATAACAAAATCATTTTTGACAAAATATTGCTGATAGATTATTTAATCTGCGATATGCCCGTCAAAAGCGCAGTTTTTGCCCTTGCACAATCTGTGTCGGTCATCGATCACTCGTAAATTAAGGATATCGATTGATAGAAGAGGTATATTAAGATTACCTTGATTATTATTTATCTATACTAATATTATAAAGAGGTACAGTTTGCGACTTTGTGACGTTGTAGGGGGTAATCTCTGGATCTACTGAACCAATTTAGATGAAATTTGGTAAGAAGATAGTTTGAAGCCCTGGGAAGGACATAGGACTTTTTATATCAGAAATCATCCCCTATGGGAATGAAAATGGGGATGAAAGTTTATATTGGGAAGTAAGCTAGGGACGAACCCGAACGAAGCGAGGGTGAGTCGCTAGTCTCGAATAAAAAGAAAATAAGCTCGATTTATCGTGTGATAGTAGGTAATAATATATTTTCATAATTTTTTTAGAAGTTTACGTAAGGCTAATAAAATATGAAAGTTTATTTATTTGAGTTTTATAAAAAAAAAACATTTGTTTGTTGAAACTTGTAGTACCTAATACCATTAAATTCTACAACTTCTTTTCATTTAATATGTATTTAGTAAGAAAATATGTCGATTCAAATATATTAATACATAAATATTACATATTCATTATATCGTTAATTAATTCTAGTTTACTTTCCATATCAATTAACAAAACCCATACAGTCGTCGCCATACCCATAAACATTAATCGAAGTGTTACGTATATTGAAACACGAAAGGTTTATTTGAATTTATAGACAAACTACGTGCACGTAGATACAGCTACGTGCGACTTCATTAGTGTACAACGACAATGGCAAATTATAAAGGGAAAAGTTTCATACAAAGTTAAAACCTATAGCTAGAAGCATCGAAAAAATATGCTAGGATAATAATATTTAGCCTATATAAATCTCCACATATCTATTTCTATACAAAAAACACGCCAAATGTAGATTTAATATGCCATACATTTTATATCTTTACATATAATAAAATTGTAACTAAGACGAATCTGTATATTAATTTTTTTTTGGAAAATCTTATTGAAATAAACATTATTATCGATACAGAGGCCGAATCTATAGTTTTTAGAATTTTTTTCTGTCTCTCTGTCTGTTACCGCATCACAGAAGAACCACTGGAGGGATTTTGATAAAATTTGGTATGGTGATAGCTGGTTATCCGGGTCAACATATAGGATACTTTTTGCCGCGGGATATTATCTCATTTCTGACAATAAATCCAAAAACTTCATTGTAAGAGTATACTAAAATGTAAAACCTAAGAATTTGGTTTTTGGTCATCTGAACGCGGGGGGAGCCGCGGGCAATGCTAGTTTTAAATAAAATATGCCCGCGAATCTCCGTAAATCAGAGATTACATGCAAAAACAGTACTAAAATTCAATAACAAGTTTACATACGCGGTATTGAGCTTCTCGCCACTTCATTTATATAAAGTTTCCCCGAAACGTTATTATGTAAGACGTGCCTTAACACCTTCGGTGGAAATTTCGCCGTATATTTGCACTTTTGATAGTAAAGGCTTTGAAACTTGAGCCAAGTTGATGATGTATTTACATAATATAAAGATTAAATCTACTTCCCATTTTCTTTCTCTTTCTTTCTTTCTTTTTTTCTTTCTTTCTTTCTATCTTTCTTTCTTTGTTTCTTTCTTTCTTTCTTTCTTTCTTTCTTTCTTGAAAAAGATAAGTAGTGGGTAGTATAAAGTGCAATGGTCAGAGAACGTATTATATATTTTGATGCTGAAGATGGCAGGTACAATTCCCTTGGTATATAAGTATTTGTATCTACCACACAAATAATCTTAGCTTTTTGTGGCAATTAAATGTACATAGTACTGTATGTACTATACATGTATTTCTTTTTGTTCACAGTCAATGATACAACTAAAGGAACGCAAAGAAATGGACGAAGCATTCAAAAAGGCGCAGAAACCATGGGCCAAGCTACTGCAAAAAGTTGAAAGGACGAGATTGGAATACCACACGGCGTGCAAGCAAGAGAGGACCGCGCAAAACCAAGAGAGGAACGCGAGTGGCGACAGCTCGCTTAGTCCAGACCAGGTTAGTGATGTTAGGTTTATACATTTATAAGCTGTTAAGATGCTTTAACTAAGGTATTTTATTCGATTCTTAATTGATTTGAGTGTAATTGTAAAAAAAATAGAAAATAATTTTCGCAGTAGATACTTTTAATAAAGAAGACGCGTTATTTTGCCACATATAATAATCTATATTCTATAATATAAAAGTGAATTGCTGAATGTGATGGTAAGCTCAAATCTCGAGAGCAGCAGAACCGATTTCGCTAATTCTTTTTTTAGAATATTCCTTGAAGTACGAGCATGGTTCTTACGGAGAGAAAAATTTAAAAAATTGCCTGGAAAAGTCTAAAAACAACACTTTTCTATACTCCCATACAAAAGATTTGTAATAATACTTAAAAGTCAATTGGAACAATACCATACCATAAACCTTAAGTTTTAGTGGAGAGGTTCCGGGAAGTGACGTTCGTATCGTATAAATATTAATGTCAATATTATTAATTAAAAAAAAATTATATGACTAACGCTGGCTAATAACTATTTATATCTATTTAAAACGTACCTAGTAGTAAATAAAATCATTATAGTAGTTAATTAATATATAAGTAAAGAAACTTTAAAAGAGGTGTATTCAAAAACGCTTTGTCTTTTACAATATGTACGTATAATTGACACTAGAAGTTTAGTTGAAAGTTCTAAACTTAGACACGTCGAGTCGATTTTCTTGTAAATTTTTAATGTGAAAGCAATGACGTGGATTCTTCATAGTTCATATCTGGGGCATTCGGTTCCGCGTAAATTACATACAGGCTGACTGTTTTTTTTATGAATCATACACACGTGTATATATTCTTATGTGTGTGGGAAAATCAATATCTTTTTTTTTAAATAATGATGTCTATTTAATTTTATAATACTAATATACTATATATTTTTTAAGTCGGTAAATGCAATTTTTATAATTAATAGTTATTCCCATTATACGGTTAACAAATTGGACGTATTTTTCTTAATAAATATGCTTTTTATGTACATCTGTACTTATTTCTAATGAATTTTAAATTTAAAAAGTAGTTATATGATAACTACTTCTTAAGTTTAAAACTTTATACTTTAAAAGTAATAAAACAATTTTTGAGGTAAGTATATATGAATATACTATTCAATAAAAATGAATTTTGAAAGTCGAATTGGGTACATTTGACGAAGATATCGCGTAACAAACGCATGAATAACACATGTAGTCGAAATAAATAATTCCAAATCGGTCAACAAATAAATTTACTAACCATATATTTTAGTTATAAATAGTAGCAATCCTGAGTAGGAATCGAAGCTCTTATATGCACCGTTACTGAAAGGCAATTAGAAGTTTAAGGTGAAACCTAAAGTGAAACCTCACCTAAAATAATATTCAATTGTATATCTACTTGTTGCGAACATCAGAATAGCAACGAATAAAGCAATAAGGAAATAGAAAGCTATACGAGGATAGCACTCAGGCATAATCCCTTCCCGCTGCGAGCTTAAGCCCATCGACCCACTAGACCGAATTAACACGTTGGCGCTCTAGCGCACTTGTGGTGTAAACAGGGTATGAATGTTCGAGTGGTTACAGTATGAGCATTGATTTGATTGATTTATTTAGTTTACAAATTTACCTATTATTATTATAATCTACTAGCAGAACCCGCGGCTTCGCTCTCGCTAAAACTACAAAAAAACTCTAAAATGGTAGGTTTCATACAAAATTTCATCCGCTATTTACTCCCTTATGGCATGAGTTTTGAAAAATGCTAAAACATGTATTTAATTAATTGTATTGAAGAGCATTCATACCAAGTTTCAAGTAATTCTGATCATAAATATTTTTTTGGATTGTATTATAACGTGTTTTTCCGAGGGAAAGAGATAATTTCCCGCGGTAAAAAGTAGCCTATGTCACTCTTCAAGCCCTCCAACTATCAACTTATAATATCAGTATGGATATATAAATTAGAGAGATATATATATATATATATTCTTAAAGAGATAAGGCATCCTTTGTCGACATTCTTTTACTTTATTTTGCTTAACATATATTTATGGTACATAAATAGATAAAGACAAAAAAGCTCAGTATTCGCCTTTATTTGTCAACCGATTTTGTTTGTGTTTGTTTAGTATCTATTGATCAGCTTTAGAGTTATCAATAGAAAAATGTTCAATAATGATTAGGTACTGTCGAATGTCGGCCACTGGGCAAACACTAGTGAAATTAAATGTAGAATTAATCCAGATCTTTTATAATTTAAATATTGATTGAAAAGCAAGACATAAGTTACACCTAGTATATAAGTACTAATATCCAATTTATCACAAAATATGCAATGCATAAACTTTAAAAGTTTTTTTTATAAATTTAAATAATTCATAATAGTGCTCTAAACTTGTGGCAAACATCGAAGAATGTGAATACAAGGTACTTATTCTATACAGTCAATGTAAATACGGACTTAAGTCTAAGGCGACGCAACACCAACATGGATTTGCTACTTGAGTTCTTTGACCACTTGCCCCATTTAGTTGTAAATCGATATGTCTAGAACACACGAATAATACGATAGAAGGCTTACATTACCTGCTTGCCTTGCTATGATAGTTTTACTTGTAAAAGTGCGTAAATACGTAAATATGTTCATTTTAAAAAGCTGTAAAATTCATATTTATGTAAAATTTAATTCTCTCTTGAATGTTTGACGTGTTTTATATATTAATATCATAGATTGTTATGAAAAAAAAAAACAACAGGGAATGTCTTAATGAATAGATTATGAGAGAAGAGCAATTTAAAGTTTAGAAATTATAATATTATTATTGAGATCAAAATATGTAGTAACTTTTAATTATGTACATTTTTGGACAATCCTCCTTCTTTAGCGGTATGCCATGATAAATAAATATGTTGGGACATTAACACACAGCACCATCTAGTTCCATGGTAAGCTACGAGGCTTGTGTTATGGATGCTAGATAGTTGATACACTACACATATATTACTTTAAATACATACATATTATAAATATAAACAACAACCATGACTGGAGTACAAACATTCGTGCTCATCACATAAAAATCAAAAAAGATCCGCGAAAAAATCAGTAAGGTTAACTTTATTAAAAAAAATCAAATATTCGCGTAAATTTAATAAAGTATTATACAAGAAGCTTTTACAATATCAATAGAGTTAATTCGGTTCATTATATTAATAAGATCTATTCCATACTAACCATTAAAACGTACCTAGGGACGAACCCCGAGCGAAGCGAGAACCGCTAGTACCTATATTATATTACTAATTACTCTTTTATCTTAAATTTGTTATTTTATAACACATCAATCCACACAATACTTAGCAGTGTAGTAGTAAAATAGATAGAAATCGTTCTTACACCAATCACTTCAGCTTAATTTTTTTTTGTTTTCCGTTTAAAAACTACAGTGAAATGTCGTCACAAAGAAAAGCGACGCTATTGCGAGTTTCCGTTCCCGTTTGTGTCGTATGTGCCTTTGAGCGATACAATACTGTTATATCCACTATACTACTGAATTTCTACGTAAATTCGAGGACTTTTCATTTAAACATTCCTTCCTATATATGCTTTTGGTACATTTTTCGACGAAAGTTCGTTTCGAAGAGTTATAAACTAATATAAAATGCAAGTTTAATGATTTTGATATAAGGAATTATTATGTCATATGGTTAGTTTTCGATTGAAATATTAGGATATGAAGGATGTTAGTACGCTTTTGTCTTTATTAATATATATTTAACATCTGAAAAATGTCCTCAAAAAGATGCACATAATTCGAAATTGTGCGCTTTTTTTCAAATCTATTTTGTTCATTGCTTTTCCAATGACAAAATAAAAAGCACAGTCACATGTCAACGTCACGTTTTGAAGAGTTACGTATTTTCTTAGAAAATAAAAGTTAGATATATTCTTATTTTACAGTAAAAATCCTTAGGATATAATACAAAATTTGTTTTTATTCTACTTAATAATTAAGAGTGTAAAATGAATCCTACTGGAAATGTTTCTTCGGCAATATTATTTTATAAAAATGCTCTTCGTTTGATTGTAGCTTGTTTCAAAGAACTCTGCTTTATTTTAGTAGCAAAAATAAACTATCTGAATTACTGTCGAAAATAAAGCTCTTGTAACAGTAACGTCACACCGCCCACCGGTTTCCCACCTCTCGTTGAAAGTTATATAGATACACTCTGTAAAATACTAATTGCTTTATAGCTCCATCTTAATTATTTGAAATAGTGATTTAAATTAGTTTTTACTTTACGTCTTAAAAGCTATCGAAGCAAATTATTTTACTCAGCTCTGAGCAGAAGTTTTTTAAAGGGGCCAGCGACTACGCGCAGACTTTTTATTTGTTAAATAAAGGGTCTTTTATTGGTCTTAGATATATGTAAACTTCCTAGTTGTAGAACAAAATCAATTTTCTTTTTTATCTATTTAACATTAAAAAGACTTTATCAATACAATCATTTCATATTTTACAATAAGAAAATATGGAAATATTAAGTTACATTTTAAAATAAAGATTATCTACACATACATATAATAAAATTCTAATGGAGTCGATTTCTACATGTTAAATATTTTTTGTTGAAATAGTCATTATTATCGATATAGAGGTCGAATCTATAGTTTTTAGAATTTTTCTGTCTGTCTATCATCGAACGTATCACGAGAAAACCACCAGACGGATTTTGATAAAATTTAGTATGGTGATAGCTGGTTGTTCGGGTCAACATATAGGATAATTTTTACTGCGGGAAAATTTCTTATCTCTCAGATATCTAGGTACTCGAACTCCAGGTGTGCAGCCGTACATGCTAGCCACTACACCACCGAGGCAGTTCATCTAGGTATACTAACCGTTAAAAATATAAAGTTTTAACGCTAGATTGAATAAAGACTCAGTTCTAAGATCTACGAGTAGATGCGGGAGGTCTGAAAT